AAAATGCCATTAATGATACGGGATGCATGTGAGTCGTCCGATTAACATGATCTAAGGGCCTAGATTAGTTCTTAGTTCTTATTTTAGCGTTGGTTCTCATTATAACTTGGTTATATATATATATATATATATTAAAATATTACAAAAATGCCATTAATGATACGGGATGCATGTGAGTCGTCCGATTAACATGATCTAAGGGCCTAGATTAGTTCTTAGTTCTTATTTTAGCGTTGGTTCTCATTATAACTTGGTTATATATATATATATATATATATATATATATATATATATATATATATATATATATATATATATATATATATATATATATATATATATGACCTTAAAATGAAGATTGTAAAGAATTTCTTGCTATTATGTATAAAGATGAAAATACAAAAAAAAAAAATTGTATCGTAATTTATTATTTGAATATTATGATTTGATTTAAAATGTTAACTATATTTTATTTTTGCCATATTTGTGTAAAAAAATATGTGACAAAATATTTATATTTGATGTTCGTATCATGTTGCCATAATCAATAACTTTCATATATGGTTGGCCACACCGTGTGGCCAATCACAATTTTTTGTAAAAAAATAATTCCCCTCTCTCTCATCATCTCGTTCTCCTCTTCTCTTTCTAGCTTTTCTCCACATTCTCTTTCATCTTCTCTTTATTTCTCTCTTCCTATTCTCTTTCTCTTCTTCTCTTTCACTTCATTTCTTACATCTTCTAGCCGCCACCACCGGAACTAACCATTGTAACAACACCAACACCGACATTAACAACCACCAACAACAAAATCGCACAACAACAACGTCGCAAAACGGTCTTTTCGTCTCCCTTTCTCTCTCTTCCCATGATCAAAACAAATTGAAGGTTTTCAGGTCAAATTCGATCATGAAAACTCTAAAGTCGAATTTGACCTCGTAAACCCAACTTCAAGGCTTTATGTGGTTGAATTAAGGTATATATTTCTTTTTTTTCAATTTTGGTTTTATTTTGTTGTCATTTTTTTAAACCTAGAGGTTTATTGTTTAATTTGTGGTTGAAAATTTATGGAGTTGGTGGTTGGCGGTGGCTGTTGGAGTTCGAGTTTTGGGGGTTTTGGGGTTATTTAGTCTACAAGGTTGGTGAGGGGTTACTAGGTCGGTTAGAGGTTACTTTTTTAGCAGTTAAGTTGGTAAGGGGTTACTAAGTCAATCAGGGCCGGACCTCTCCCTGTGCAAACAGACCTACTACACAAGGCCCCCAATTTTATGGGGCCCATTTTCACATAAAGCCCCCCCCCCAAAAAAAAAAAAAAAAAAAAAGTCAGCCATCTCGTTATCTCCGCAAGATTGACTAAGTATTCCAGTATTCCTCACAATCAATCTACTTTCCAATCAATCTAGCTTCCATTTTCAATATTATCAAACTTTTCAAATTTCAATCTCCAATTTAATTTCACTACTTTGAATATGAAATTTCCATCCCTTTTTCTATTCCATATCTCTTTCAATGCTGAATTCTCCTTAACCTTCTTATTTTACCCAAAAATAATTATTAATTATCTCACTTTCCTCTTCCAATTTTCAATGGAAGAATTAATTTTTCAGTCTTTACCATTACTTCTCTTGATTTTCGTTTATTATCAAACATTCAAACGGCTAATTTTTTTTACCATTTATAAATTTTCAAACGATTTCAGAATTTTCTACAACTCCTACTCAAAATTATTTTTGGGAGAAAAAAAAATACGATTTATATATTGTTTGATGAGATTTGATGTTTCTGTTTTGGAATTTTGGTTGTGGAGTTGTCCATAACCTTACTAGCTGGGCCCCATTTTATAATTTTTTATATAATATGTAAGTATTATAATTTTTTCTCGTTAGGGCCCCATTTTAGAGTTTAGAACAGGGCCTCGAAATTTAACGGAACGACCCTGAAGTCAATCATGGGTTATTAGATCAGGGGTTATTAGGTCAGGGGTTACTAGATCCGTCAGGGGTTACTTAGTTAAGGGTTACTAGGTCAGTCATGAGTTACTTGGTTTGGGGTTATTAGGTTGGTCAGACACTCGGTCAGAGATTACTTAGTCAATCAGGGGTTACTTGTGTCGTGTGGCCAGCCGCACACAAAAACCCTGTATTGCTTGACCTTTTTTTTTTTTTTTAGATATAACATTACTAGACTTTACTAATTCGATATGAAATTACATCTTATCATTATCCATTTACCAAAATATTGTACTCTAATATTACATTACATGCATGTTACTGTAAATTAAATTACATGTTACATCTCTACTTAGTATTTAAAAACACAAACCATAAATTTTTTATATGACACATGCGTTACAAGTCACTCATTACCCCCATATGTCACATGCCACCTCCCCTAATATTTATATTTTAGTCTTTATGCATTCTACAACTTGCAAATTCAAGTAAGAAATTGAAGTATTTCATTTCCACCATAATGAAATAAAGTTCAATTAATTAGTTACTCCATCCGTCCCTTTTTTACATTTCTGCTTTCTTTTTTTGGTATTCCAAAATTACATTCATCCTTTCCTTTTTTAGTAAGTATTTTTTTTTCCAAAAATCCCAAATTATCCCTCTTTTTCTGTTTTGTAATTAATGCTCACTCTTACTTTCCTATTCTCACTCTTATTTTCCCCCGGCCTAAAAAAATTCAGAATCCTTGTACCTAAATTTAGATGAATATGATTGGTTCTAAATTTTCAATAGGAGCATGTTACTGGTCTTTTTTTTTTTTTTTTTTTGCAAAGGATTGATGACATGGCATCATTAAATATTAATTCTTATTTGTTTTACTCAAAGACATCATTTAATGTTTTGCACTTCCCATTGTGTTTTGTTTTATTGTTATTTGTTTTATTCTTAATTCCTTAATTCCTGTGTAATTTTACAAACAGAAATGTAAAAAAGGGACGGAGGGAGTACATTACATTAACATATGGATTATAATAAAAATTGTCTTTTCATCTCCTAGACTTTAAATATAATTTAAACTAATATGTCATTTTATATCTCACAATCTTCATGTATGTATATATCTAACTAAATTCCTTCATCTTCATTTACAATTCTACCCTCACTCTTTTTTTCTTTTAATTTTAAAAATGAAACAATGATTTCGTATGATTACTGGTGCATTGAACGAGCCAAAAACATAGGCGGATCTAGGGGGTGGCCAACCCGGGCCTTGGCCTCCCCTATGCCCATATTTTGATACATATAAATAAAAAATCTTGTGTGAAAAATATAAGTCTTGTAATTGGTTTAGTTGGTTAGTTACTTGATGTATAGATGTGGGAAGGTCAAGGGTTCAATTCCCCTTATTTGCACATTTTAATTAAACTAGCCCATTTTAATTATTTTTAATTAATTTGTTTATTTAATAGTGAAAACCTATTAAAATGGATAGGAAAACCTAGAGAGAGAAAACTAGAGAGAGTTAAAATACACAGAAAACCTCTCAAATACTCTAAACCTCTTCAGAAAACCTCTCATCAAATACTCTAAACTTCTCCAAAGAAATCCTCTCAAAACCTAAAATAAGAACAACAAGCATTCGGCATGCCGTTCTACTATAGAAGATCACTCGTGGAAGAGATCAAGCCTCGACGGCCCTCAACACGAAGGAAAGAAGGATTTCAAATCATCAAAATCTCTACATCAAATAGTCATTGATCGAGATCAAGCCTCTTCGGCCCTCAATCAAGAATTTAAGTCAAAGGTCTACGTCAACAACAAATTAAAGGTCTACATCAATAACAAGTCAAAGGTCTGCCTCGACAGCCCTCGTTCGAGAATCAAGTCAATCTTTGAATCACATCAAAGTCAAAATGGAGATCGAATCAGATGATCAAATTAGAGATTGTACCCAAAATTATCAAATTAATAAAATTCACACTTTGTTGCATTTGTTTTGAATCTATATTTGGCAGATTTAAAATTTGTGTTCACAGATATGAAACTACATGCTAACAATGATACGAACCATAATATTACAATTTAATTTACTAATTAGATAAGAAATTTATAGCAATATTATGCTTGGATCGTATCACTGTGCTAGACTTTGCTAACTATATATGACATTATAGTTTTCGCATAATACTTTACGTAGTAATTTAGAATTTTCTTTGTTCCAAAAAAAAAATAAAAAAAATAAAAAATAAGGAATGAGCTTACGGTTAAATTTAGAATATTTTTTCATGAAATCAGAGAAATAAATTTAGTCATTATAAAACCTAGACCTAGTTATTGGATAGGGTAGTCTAATAGGGTTAGGGTCCAGCTTATAAGACCCTTATTGAATAAGTTCAGAGCCAAAATATTTATCCAATTTAATATATAAAGAAAAAAGATAATGTAAAATTTACTCTATATGGTATTTTGGTTACATATTTTTGTATTCGTATGTATTTAACAATAACTTTGTTAAATATTTATTGTTAAATATTTATTTTAATTAATAACTTATAGGCCCATACCCGCTATTAGCCCTATAATATGTGACCCTCTTTGACTCAAGCCACGATTAACTGACTAACTATAACTTGACCTGCCCAACAATAAGGTCTAATAAACTCTCCAACACAAATCCCCTTTAATACCAGCTGAATGAACCATTATCCTACATTTCATTTAGGTTTTTTAAAAAAAAAAAATATTTTATTAAGTACGAAAGTCTTATCAAATTAAAACCTCACAAGTCAATTCAATTTAAGGTTGTACGGGTAAAGAGGATTAATGGTAGATATGTCCAATATGTACTGCTGATAAAATTGGAAAACCAATAGAATCACAAATCACTACGCAAATGTCATTCCTTTTTTTTTGGACCCGAATACAACGGGAACTAATAGAACAATGCAATGTCATTCCTAAAACCTACCAAAACCAGTAAAAAAATGTTTAATTCACAAAGGAAAAATGAGTCATCTACTTATCATAAGCCAAAAAAAAAAAAAAAAAAAAACTCAACAAGGTACATTGTAAATTTGTATTTATTCAGACTTAATATATACAGTACAAACCTGGCAATGCAGCCAATTTCTTGTTTGCATATAACAGCGTCAAATCGACCAAGTATTTATGTCCTACAAAAATTTTCAGCTCACTAATAGGTTAAGCTAATCATATAACACATATTCGGCCAACCCCCTCCCGTACCACTGTCCCAAAAAAGAGCAACCTCGCTAACAATTTCAACCCCTTCAACAAATAAAAAAAAACGTAAATTATTTAAAATCCAGGAATAACAAATTGAGTTTTCTTCTTTAGCTGCATGACAGCATGAGAGATCATGCAGTTCAGATTTTGCTACTTTGTTTATGAAAACCAAGATTATCTATCTAGAGGCACCAGCTGCAGCACGTTTGTCACATTCTCCTTGCTCTTCTTTGGAAAATTCTTCTATTAGTTCCCGCTGTCTTGGGGTCAAGCTCCTGCCAATTGTTCACCACCCACATAACACCCTCACATTAGATAGGGGATAATCTATTGTTAAAGAATCCCTAAAACACATGTAAAATCTACAAAAATCATCAGCATTTGAAAAACTAAGCCAACTTACGTTGGGATGCTGACATTGAAGTGCACAAACTGATCCCCAAATGAGGCAGAGCCCCTTGCTTTAATTCCTGCAAGAATCACATAACGTAACAAGATTTCAGGGTACAAAATTTCAACATGCATGATGCCACACAGAGAGCTCAGTAAACCTAGTGGACGGTAGATGTTAACTCTATCTTTGAAAACCTCCCCTGCCGTACCGATGACCAGATTCCTAAAAACTAGAGGTTAAATAAGTTGGGAATAAGATATAGCTAGAATGTTATTAACAATTTAACACAAATTTAAGCATGAAAGATATTGCCTAGAAACGAGATGGTGAAGCAAACTTGTCTATTTCTGAATAGTAAATTAAATTTTACCCTATATTAAAGTTGAGACTTGAGAGACTGCACTAATATTTAAAACAACAGAGTTGAGCTACTACTACTACAGTTTTGTATTATATATTTTGCAAAACATATCAACAGCTTCCTTACATGATACAACAACCATCCATGTTCCTCAAACCAGAATTACAAACCATACAAATTAGAAATCGGGGAAACCATATGGGATAAAATTGAACACGCAAAAATGCAAAATATAGCATTCAGTTATGCCTTCTGCTCACCTTTTTTCTTCAGCACGACCTTCTGATTTGGTTGGGTCCCAGGACGAACCTTTATCAAAGAAAAAGAAAAAAAAATAGAGTTCAATATGAATCTTCACTGCCAACAAAACTTCAAGACTCTACAAACAAAGAGACATTGCACAAACCTTAAGAACAACATCTCCAGTTAGAGTTGGAACCTGGATTGTCCCACCCAAAATTGCCTGCACAAGGGATTCAGTTCTCAAATATTAATAATATAACCTTCGGTAAGTCAAACAAGAGGAGAGAGTTTCATCACTGATCATAATAAAGACTTGGTGTCGGGAATTACTAACCATAAGTTGGAAAGAAAAAAAAAAAAAAAAAAACCTGCAATCTGTTCATGTTCATGAAGATGTAAAAGTGGGTCATGGCCACAGACAATCCTTCCATCTTTAGGCTATATAATTTTAAATAAATAGTCTGGCTTTGATGTTGCATTAAACATGATCTTGAAGTCTAAGGATTGGGATTAGAGTTCCAGGAAGGGGTACATCATACAAATGATGCAGCATTACTCCCTAGTCACGTCCCTATGACGGAACTCTGGATATAGGAATGACAATGTTTTACCTTTCACAGTTAACGTTACTGTAGTGTTCATGAAAACTTCAATTTACCCTTCACTATTTTGGATTTGTTGCAAATGCATTTTGCGGGGTTCTGATGATGCAAGGAGAAGAAGATTCTATATTGCTATTCTTTAGCAGAATTTGCGCATCTTTACAGGAACTACTTAGTCGTGCAATTTGATGTGTGATACAATAACTTATTGTTATGCTTCCAAGATGATCCAAGTTAATGGAAGAAAGATCACAAATGGTTTTGATGCGGAACAAGGTGAAGAACATACATCTAGATGATATCTCAATCACTTAAATGTTCTAACATTCATATCGAATCAAACAAAGGTGTTCTTAATCTCAGAAGAGATGCTTAACAATCCTGCTTTAACCAAAAATTTAATAAAATATTGCAACCTTAAAATTTTTATTTTATTTTTAAAACAAATTGCAACCTTAATTTTATTAAGCCATGTAATCTATCAAAAAACACTTCATCCATCTTATATATTCAACCTAATTCTTGTAGATACACAATTTAAGAAAATATTGAAAAAAGTGAATGATTGTAAGATAAAAGTGGGATGAAGCAAGAGAGAAAAGAGAAAATACAATAACACAGAGTGTCGGTAAAAGGGGCAAACCTAAAATACAAGTAAGAAAAATGAGTAGAACAAAAAGAATGGAGCAAGTATATCCCAGATAAAGCTACTAACCCCCCTAGCGTTACTATAGAAAATTCGTACAAAATAAAAATAACTATGCTAGTCTAAATTTTTTGAAAAATTATACATCAACTAATGCTAATAACAATTATTTTATTTGCAAAGAATAAATAATTCCTCCTATAACCCTCTTAGCCTCTTCTAATAAGAAGCCACAAAAGAACCTAGCTCAAATATGATCATAAACCCATTGAGTACTTTTAACCTGAAAGCAATCATCAAATGGCATCATACAATCTGTGGCCAGATGGGAGAAACCCAATATAACGACAATCAAATAGACCGAATATTACTTTGACTTGTTCTGAAAGCTGCGTAACATCTTCAACCAACCTTTATCGTACGCACCTTTTAGTGCGGCACCATAATATAAACAAGTCATGCTAAAAAATTAGACTTGGGTAGGTTTATTGATATCGTACCAACTAATTGTCATCCTTGTGGCGTAAATTACTCATTCAAGTGTTACGAATTAAGCCTAATTTGTAAAGATGTTGCTGAATTAGGACAGCTGTAATCCTACTTTTATATTTAGTTTTCTTTGTTCTCCGACACATACAACGCTCAACACGGGCTACAGTGCTACACGGCTCCAGAAAAGTGTTGGGACAAGTGTCGATATCCAGTTCACCGTTGACCCAATTATCTTCTTTGTAATTACAGACCTAGTTTAGACCAAAAACCTATATTTAAAATTCATAAAATGGAGGACACCTACAGGCAATAAAACGATAGGGCTTATAGAAACCTGAGAGGTGCTTCTCCACAGTGGATATATCCACCATGGGCCCATGGCTGACATAGCAGCTATTTCACGAGAGCGAAGAAAGAGAAAGAGGGAAGAAAGCTTTAGTGTTGTATTTAATTGATGATGGGGCATGGAAATTGATCTAGATTTAATTCTCAGATTCACTACATTTAATTGAATGGTGGGTAAAACAGAAGTAGGCCACGTGGCTTTTTATGGAGTAGTTTAATTTATTTTTACTCCGTGTATTTTTATTTTCCATGTACAATACTTCATCCGTTTGGAATTAGTTGCAACATGGGTGTGGGCACAAAGATTATGGAAAAGGGAGTTAGTGGGTTTTAGTCCCCACCATGGGGTATGAGATTAGGCAAAGAAGCCCTTGTGTAATAAAAAGGGAGTGCTGGTCCCCACATGTGCTACTTTTGGTATTTTATTAGGAAAAACTTACTAATTAGTGATGTCGCAACTAAACAAAAAATCCATTTTAGGGAAGTATTGCATCTATTTCCAATTGGAGGAAGTATCATTCTTTTAATGCTTGTACTTATGTTCATCTTATTGTTTTTAAAATTGTACTGTTTTTAAATAATATGAATGTCCAGATACTTCATATGGTAGCAGTATCTAAGTGCGTCGAAGTGTTGGACAATTTTGGAGGAGTGTTTGATCCTTTGACACCATGTTAGACACGACATCCAAATCCCAGTTGAAGTAACAGAACTATATTCTTTTGTTGTAAAAGCAAAAGAAACTATTCAGCCAAAAGCATAAACAAAATGGCAGAAAAAGTGAGAGCTATTTACCTGGGTGATACTCAAAACAGCATCGACATGAATGTCAGATCCTTCTCTTCGGAAAACTGGGTCTTCTCTAACCTGGGGTGCAAATTTGGTAAGATCATTGCAGCAGCAGAAGTAGCAATGGCAACAGTAGATCCAGGAACAAGAATTAGCAAGGGATACCTTAATGACAACATAAAGATCACCTGGCCCGTATCCATCAGGATCAGCTCCACCACTTCTAGATACCTTGATTGTTTCATTATTATCCACACCTGTAAACAAACCAAAATGTCAATATTGGTATGGAGCTGGTTTCCACGACATAAAAAGAATGGTTATCATCCAGCCTCCAGCTGGCTGCTTCTAACCGAGCATATAATTTCACACCACCCATAAGGAGACATGGAAAAGCCATAATGACGTATCACTTAAAAATATAAATAAACAACTTCTTGTGTTGATTTTGAAATACCAGCCTAGCTACTCCATCCAGAGAGTTATAATACCACAGAAAACACAAATATAAGCAAGTTGCAATAATATATACTACCTCCGGTCCAATTCACTCGCAACAAAGGACAACTTTGAGGTTCCCAAGTCAAAAGATCTTAAGTATAGTTAGTGAAAGGTAAGGGAATACACTTAAGGATTAATCCAACCCACACAAAAAAACAAAAAAAAAAACAAAAAAAAAACAAAAAAAAAAAAAAAAATCAACTACAATTAAACTAATAACCCACCACCATTAGGACCACTCGCAGCACTGAAATACCCACCACCACCACCCAGTAGCACCGCACCACCACCGCACACACGATCTACCACCACCACTGCACCCACGAAACCACCAGCCGATCTACAACCACCATCGAACCCGCCGATCTGAAACCACGAAACCAACCCACCGAACCCGCCTTCTTGAAAAGATTCGTCCTCGAATCCAATAGGACTTCAACGATGACGCATAAAAAAAAATATCACAGCATAACAAACCGCTAGCTTCTTCCCAATGTTGCATATACCCATATTTTAGCATGCATGGAGAAGTTATGTAATCCTCCTTTGGAGTAAACGTATGTAAAGACTATACCTTTGTCAATTGTTCTAACTTGGCCACAAAATCTGGAACACACAGACTTGTAGGTCTCTCATATAATACAACAAAACATTTTACCAAGTGTTAGGAGACATTGGTTGCTCCTCAATAATGCAGCCTTGGTGCAATTCCATCACCATATCTGATTCTTGATGTAGATTGTCATTAACATTAAATTCCTTTCATTTTTCACCGTAGAAAATAAAGATTCCAAAATTTGTCAATATCTACTTTAATATTTTTTCTAAACTCTTGGGCCCTTGGCTTTAGTTTAATTTTTTTTACTAAAGTCTTGGCTTTAAAGCAACCACTGTTTTTCACCACTCCATAGCAAAATTTGTGAACGATGAAATCACAATTGGAACAAGTCCATAACCAATAAAATTTAAATGCTCGAACAATTTCTCCACCACATCCCTAAACTCATAGTTACAAAATAATCCACCAAACTAGCTAATATTAAAGTTAAATTTATCCCCATCTTTGGTCTTACCCCAAAAGCCCATTATATGCCAAGTTGACGCGAATTGGCAACCCAATATTGACCCTCAAAAGAAATAGCAGCTAACAATTCTTTTTTTTTTTCTTTTTTTATAAACTAAGATCGTGTAAGTAGGAAGAACTCACAATTTTAGGCTCTTGATACCAATTTGATGTGGATATGAATGGATGGAAGGTTGTATATAGATTTAATGGTGGAAAATTGTAGGATAGTGATAGAAGGCAACAACTTCTAAATTTGATCTTTTATGGTAGAAAAATGTTGGATAATGATAGAAGGCAACAACTTCTAAGTTTGATCTTAAAAGCAACAATCCTAAAACCCTAACAGCTACTTTAAACCTTAACAAAATTCTTTTCATGCCAAAGATCAACAATCTACTTTTTATTTCATAAAACATCCAAGATTGATGACATTTAACTAATATATATAGGAAAATAAAACTAACCTAAGTGCCTTGCAAGCAAACTAAGTAAAAGGCCCTAATAAATAATTGACGACCCATGACGTCTTAATAACTAATTAACAATAATTTGGAAGCCAAAGGCCCCACTAATATTCCCTCTAATCCTATTTGTTCTATCCATTTGGAATCTAGAGACTATTCATATGATAAGAGGATCTTCTAAGTTACTCTCAAGGGTCGTTTGGTTGGTAGAGGGGAAAAGGAAACACATTAGGAAAGGGAATGAGAGAGAAAGGAAAGCAACGCCTCCATTTATAATGTGTTGTTTGTTTTATTAAGTAAGAATGGGAATCAAATACTTCGTATGAAGCACCAGCATTCTCCACCACCAACATTGTTCTCCAACACCACCATTGCAATTGTTAGTCCTCAAGCCTCCAACATTGTCACCCCTCTATCCTCTATTGTCGCATCGTCCGACTCCAACACCCACCACCCGCCGTAGCCAGGCCATCCTTCTTCTCTCTCTTTTTTTAATTTTTTTTTTTTTTCATAGATCTCGTAGTTTGTTTTTAAGGTGTTAAGGGTTGTTTATTTGGGTGTTTGAGGTTGTTTATAGGGTGGTTTGAGTTGTTTATGGAGATGGTTAGGGTTTTTTGGGTGGTTTTCATTGTGGTTTTTTGGGGTAATAGGCGGCGAACGTGGTGGGTGTAAAGTTATTTTTGGGTGGGTTTGGGTGGTTTCGAGGATGGTGGGTTTTTTTTTTTGCTCTGTTTTGGGTGGTTTCGGTAAGGAAGGGTGGTTTTGGGTGTGGGTGGGTTTTTTTTTCCTTGGTGGTTTTAGGTGGTTTCGGTGGGGAAGGATGGTGGTTGTGCGGTGATGAGTGTTTGGGCGATGTTTCCGGTGGCTAGGCGGTGATTCTGGTGGCGGTTGGGAGGTGGTGATGATGTGGCCGATGTTTTTGGTGGCTGGCTGTGGTGTCAGTTGGTGTTTTCAAGGGTGGTCAACGTAGTTAGAAAGTTGGTCAAGGTAGTTGGCTAAAGAAGAATTTGGGGGGGGGGGGAATGAACACAGAGGAAAATGGGGTAATGGGAGGGGTAAAGGAATGATTGAATTTGTCTATCAAACATCAACAAAAGGATTTATGGTAATTGATTCCCATTCCCTTTGTTAAATACCCCCAACCAAACGGCCCCTCAGTATATAAAACAAAGCATTGGGTTTTATAAGATTTTGTCACAATGAGAAGTTTATTAATATTCAAATTTTACATCTTCACTAATATGAAACTAAAGAAATTTATGGTCAAAGTAATTCATTGACAAACAAGGGAGTATTAAGACAATAATAAAAACTCACTTAACCCCCACTTAAGAGTAAGGTAAAACCAAAAGCATACCAAAATAAAGCAATTAGTTATAAGCAAGGTCACTCAATTATAATGGTACATATAATATATATATTTATTCATTTATTTTGGTAACAATACCCTGAAAACTGGTTTATATAATTTTCAGTTTGTTGTATTAAAGCCAAAGACTATTAGGTTTCAACCCAAAGTGATTTGATAGTTTACCAAGTCATCATTGTACTATGTTATGACAATTTTTCTAGTCCAAGAATCTGCATGATTTTATAAGTTATCTTTCCTTTAAAAGAACAGGTGCTGGATATGAAAATAAACAAATAGAAGAGATCCACTTTTCCATCTCTCCCCTGAGATAAGCTGAGAGATGCTTACAGATATATACATTGTAGCCTTCTTAGCTTTGAATTACATATAGCACACAACCAACCCACAATCCAAATCCCAAATGCACATATTATCAATAATATGGAGACTTGGGCAACAATAATCATCCATAACACCCCTAACAATAACAATAACAATAACAATAACAATAATAATGGATAGGGTCATATAACATAATTAAAAGAAACACATAACCAGCTACAAACAGAAACATGCATAATCTGCTAATCAAAAAGAAGCTTTTACCAGGAATGATGTCTAGTCGAACAGACTTTGATCCCAGCACCACTCGATTACCATTGCAGGACTTGCAATATGTCTGTATGCCACATATCAAAAGCAAAAGAATTGTCAGATTCAACATATTATTCACCACATACAAATGTCTGTATGCCACATAGCAGGGAAGGTACTAACAAGATATTTGATTGAATCTCAAAAATGGTTAACACCAGATAAAGAAAAAAAAAATCCAGCATTTTAGTGAAGACATCCCAAATATGTATGCAGCTTTCAAGGTATGGACTGGTAATTCATCAGCAAAAAGGATGCTCTAAGAAGAAACTATTAATGACAAATAATAGTATACAACAGCATGAACATATTTAGTTGTAATGCGAACACTACTTGAGAATATTGTTGCAAGTATTAAATATACATTTTGGCATTCTTATTGCTTGAAAGATGGGTATCTAGTTATGTAGCAACACCTTGATTGCCTCATTTATCAATTGTAGGATCTTACAAATCTACAATCCGATTTTACTGATTCAATCCTACTTCCCTCATCAATCCAACCAGGGATACCAATCCTAACAGCCTTGGTTGCAACTAAAACCTATTTCAAAATTCAACCGTTTATCCATATTCAAGGCGTTGGTGAATTAATACATATGAGAAGCTCAAATCTTTATGCCTGATTGTTCGAGTAGGTATTGTTCTTGAACATTTGATTACAAATAGCTTTGAGTCACATCAGCAAGCAAAATTGCATCCAGAAAGGAATTGTCATAGAACAGAAATAAAAGGTGCAGAATACATACAGATTCTTTGATGATTGATAATATTGAGACATTGGGGTTGAGGGAGATATATTTCATGTTTTGGCTACATGGTCATCAAACTTTAAGGAAGTTTTGCAGCCTACTGCAGAGTGCAAAAACCATTGAAGGCCTAAAGCCCCTATATTGCTGTTTGTATATAAGCTACAGGGATTAAAAATAAAGAGGGTATGCCTAAAAGAAAATTGTAGTTAACACGCAGGCAACAGGTTTAACAGGTTTGATTCGGAGATTAGTCAATTGCCTCCGTGTGTTCTTTCAGCATTGTATTTCACTTTCTAGATAAGGAAGTCTCAAATTAAATGCATCACTTCCCTATTTAGTTGATAAATTCTCTCTGTCTCTCTCATGTCACAGGGGTCCTCTTTCTCTCTCTAACTCTCTCATCTCCAAAAACTGCATAGGTGTTTTTACAAATGCTGCATTTAATTAAACGGAAGAAGTATAATGTTTACAAAAGTTTTTTTTTTTCTAAAATTAACAAAAGCATTTAATATGCCACTAAATTCAAATTTTGCTGATCAAAAGTAATCTAAAAGGTGGGAAACATGATTATAAATGAAGTTCAAATTTTTTCATTCCCTACATCTGACAACTAAAATGGGACATTAGGGAGTACAAGTCAATGGTTTTACTTAAAATTAAAAAAATTCAGAAAATTAAACTTATCTACATAACATTCAAAATTAGTGTTTCGGGGTTTTCTGATGTCCTGCGGGAGAGTTACAATTCCGAGACTGGAACCGGACGTCTGTACCTGCAAAACAAACGGATGCTCCGGATGATTGGAGATCCGCCTCCGACGGTCAAGTTAGTACTTGATTAAGGAGTAATTAATGCGGAAATTAAAGTGATTGGGTCTCTCTAGGTGAGAGTGTTTAATGTGTGTAATCTGCGTTTTTAGCGTAATCTCCCTTAATGAGGATTAAGAGAGGTATTTATAACCTCAGGAAACGTGTCAATCTAGGTTTAGGTTAACCTTGGGCTGATTAGGCTTCCCTCGGAAGTTGGGCCTAGGTGACCGGTTATCCCAGGTGTCATGGGAAGGACACGTGTCGTGTCGTAATTGGTCCATAGTGGACGGATCATTGCTTGACACGTGGCAGGCTCCTATTGGCCCATGTGACGGACACATGGCGGAACCTGATGGGTCCACTTGTCAGATGGTGATTGGTGGGGAAAAATCCCCTAATCATTTGCCCCTCACAGGTGGCACGTGACTGGTCACGTGTTACCTGTGACAGGTATCGCCCTGTAACAGGCGACGGCCTGCTACAGGTGTCACTCGGCGAGAGGCCGAGAGATTCTCCCGCCAAAATTTTGAATTCTGGAAGTGACCCTTCGCCTTCTCACTTCACCTATATAAAGGAGTGTTGACTTCGGTCATTTTCACACTTGAAAACTTTGTGAGAGAACATTCGGACCCCTGAACTTGCTCTGACATTTTGGACCCTTTCTGCCTACCGCACAAG